AGGGAAAGTGTTGCTTTTCTGTAGGGCTGACACGGGGTTTTGGTGGGAAGTGCCGTGTTGGTGGTTCCGAGCTGCCTGGCCCGGCCCCCGGGTCTGGCCCTGGTCAAACCTCCCCCCGGGTCAAACCTCCCCCCGGGTCAGAAAAGCAGAACCACAGGCCCGATTCCCCATCTCGCTGCCCCCCAGCCAGCCCAGCACTGAGCCCGTGTCTGTTTCCCAGCTCCCGTGGAGCACAAGGAGGGTGAAGCTTTAGTGGCCTCGGGCGTGGGAGCTGAGGGGGTTTTGTTGTTGCGTTTTTCCTTGAAAAGCTCCTTTCTGTTCATCTCTCTATTTTTAATATAAATAAATATAAATAAACAATGATAAATAATAATAATAAATAAGACTAAATATAAATAAACATAAATAAAGCACGTGTCACCCTGCTGATAAAGGTTCTTTGGAACAGGGCAGTGGGAAGGGCAGGACAAGTGAAGCAAGAGAAAGTCAGAAATAATCCCTAGGGAGGCACTGGGAACAGCCTGGGAAACAATGGGACAGTCAGTAAGAAGTGCTGTGGTGCTGGAGAGCAAAATGGGGCAGAATCAGGACATCTGACATTGGATAGGTGTTGGATTGTTGTTGGCTTCCCCCCCACCCTGCACACATCCCCCCTGGGCAGGTGGGAGGCCCTGGGGTGTTTGGGGAATGTCACCTGAAATCCATGGGGGTGCCAGGAGCTGAGGGTGTGGGTGACACTTCCCCTAAAGATGGGGCTGGAAACGTGTTTTGTGTGTGCTTGGGTTTTGCTACAGGATTAAAACCAAGAGCAATAAGCTCAGGTTGAAAGTAGAGCTGTGGGTGTTGAAGATCAGGGAGATATTTAGTGCAGGAGGAACAAACCTGATGGCAGAGGAACCTGCCAGCAATGGGCAGGAGGGAGGTAAAGGACTTGATGTGGAGGCTGTTTGGAGGAGGTGCTGCTTGTTTAAGTGTCCAACAGTGCTATGGAAAAAGACCTTTGTCCTTTCTGGGAACAGCTGGGATATGCTCCCTGTTTTCCTCATTCCATTCCTTCTGAGAAAACACAAACCTGTTGGAGTTGGACAGTGTAGGAAGCCTGTTCTCTGCCTTTTTTTCTGGTGCTGCTTCTCTAAGTGCCCAACAGTGTTACGGAAAAAGCACCTTTGTCCTTCCCACTGGGCACCCCAGCACCTGCAGGGGAAGAAAGGTGGGTTTTAAAAGGCAAATGTGCAGGTTATCAAGCATCTGACACAGCACAGCCCCCCTCGGGCTCCCTGTGACAGCCAGGGAATCTTTTCAGGCCCCCAGATGGTGGGAAACGTTTGTGGCACCAGGGAATGGGCCCAAACACACGGATCCTCCAGGGAATCAGTTTGTTTACACCCCTGCAAGAATGTGTAACCTAAACAAGTAGGCACCCCTGACCTAAGGTGAATAACTGTTTTTACTCCCTATTCCTGACACAAAATTCCCTCATTTCCCCATTTTCCAGGGTTTACATCCTCTCTGATGCCTCTAATTATCCTAGAAGTTTCCCACCCCTGTTTACACATTCCATTCTAGGATTTTACTTTTTACCTTTTAAGGTTTCATTCTGAATTCTTGCCCCTTTGCCTGTCTTCCCAATCACCAATATGATCTATTCCTGCT